TATTACACTATCTGGTGAGCCTTTAAATGCATTTAAAATATGCAAAGAAAGCCTTTCTGAGGCAGCGTTATTAGCGCATCCAGATTGCCAAGCAAAATTGGCTTTAGTCACTGATGCTTCGGATAATGCAATTGGAGCTGTCCTACAGCAGTTAAAAGAAGACGCGTGGCAGCCACTAGCATTTTTCTCCCGAAAGGTGAACGCTTCTCAGACAAAATATTCCCCTTATGACAGGGAGCTCCTAGCAATTTATGAGGCTATTAAATATTTTCGCTACATGTTAGAAGCAAGAAATTTCACAGTATATACGGACCACAAGCCAATCAGTTTCGCATTTCATGCAAGGAAATCCAACTGTTCACCTAGGCAGTATAGGCACTTAGATTATATAGCCCAGTTTACTACTGATATCAGGCATATTTCCGGTAAGGACAACGTTGTTGCCGATACACTTTCACGTGTAGAGGCATTGGAGGCGCCTATTGACTTAGAAGCATTAGCTAAAAGCCAAGCTTCTGACCCTGAGCTTGAAAAGCTCATAAAAGAAGGCTCTTCACTACGCCTAGAAAAACTTACTATACCCGGGAGTCGAACCCCATTGTACTGCGACGTCAATACACCGACTTCCCGGCCATTTGTAACCAAGTTTTTCCGAAAACTAGTTTTTAATACTTTACATTCGCTCAGTCATCCAGGCGCTAACGCAACCACCAGGTTAGTGGCAGAACGTTTCGTGTGGCCGAAAGTTAGAAAAGACTGTCGGGAGTGGTCACAAACGTGTTTACCATGCCAACGTTCGAAAATATATCGGCATGTTAGCTCACCTATAGGCACGTTTAAAATACCGCGTGCAAGGTTTAAACAAATTCACATCGATCTAGTAGGGCCATTGCCATTATCGGATGGCTACCGTTATTGTCTGACGTGTGTTGACCGCTTCACAAGGTGGCCCGAAGCTGTTCCGATCGCTGATATAACAGCAGAAACGGTTGCGAAGGCTTTGTTATCTTGTTGGATAGCTCGATTTGGCTGCCCCACAGACATTATAACTGACCGCGGTAAGCAATTCGAGTCAAACCTTTTCCAACAACTCGCCAAAATAGCCGGATTCCAGCACAAACGCACGACGGCTTACCATCCGGCAAGTAATGGACTGGTGGAACGATTCCATAGGCAGCTTAAATCTTCCATAATGTGTCATACACGAGAAAAAATGGACCGAGTCACTGCCATGGGTATTGTTAGGCATACGCAGTTCGTTCAAAGAGGATTTGCAATCATCCTCTGCTGAATTATTGTATGGTGAACCTTTATCTTTGCCCGGAGAATTTTTTGAGCCCAGTGCCAGCGGTACAACGGACATAACCGAATTTGCATTCCGCATTCGCGCGTTTGCTCAAAAATTACGTCCAGTGCCTATGTCTCACCATAACAATAAAAACGTCTTCATTTTTAAAGATCTTGCCCACAGCAACCACGTATTTGTACGTGAGGACGCATCACGTGGATCCTTGCAGCCTAAATACAGCGGTCCTCACAAAGTCCTCACTAGAAACGACAAAATATTTAAGGTCTTGGTTAACGGGAAGGAAGTTACGGTTACAATTGATCGCCTTAAACCAGCCCATATACTATGTGACGCATCAGATAAACTCGATGTTAATAATGCTGTAAAAACCACGAAAGAACACATAACACGTTCAGGACGTCGTGTAAAATTTACCGATTTTTATCGCCCTTAGCCAGGTCTCTGGAGGGGGGTGATGTGGGGAACTTGCAACCTATACATAATATATAACATAAATATACATTCACACACACACACACGCGCGCATTTAACAAACTACAATTTACACTAATAACATAACATCATACCAGTTGGTCGACGCTCATAGGTTCGATCCCGGTGGTGTCATCGATTCCTTACCATATAAGGTGCTATCTCGTGAGGCAACGGCTGCAAGCGAGTGGCGGGAGCGCAACGCCTCCTTGTACCTTGATCAGTCAGTTACGTACTACGACGGAGAGAGGTTGTCGCTTTAGCTTACGGACGCTTGCTATTAAAATATTTACGTGTGTAATAAATCCTGTTAACTCTTTTCTCTTAAGCTTCTCTTCGCTTTTCTTTATATCTATAAGCTTGTTTCTTCTTGTAAGTGTTGCATTCTCCTTCTGACTATATAATTAGTGGTGTGACTTTGTATTTCTGTGCAATAAATGTGTTAGTGTACGAAGTGTTGAACATTATTTATCTATACACATAACAACAAAATCCACACCCACTACACAGCGATCAAGGAAGGAATTTTGAGTCTCAAATATTCCAGGAAACTTGCCGAGTTATGGGTACTCATAAAACAAGAACGACTTCTTATCACCCGCAATCTGATGGAATGGTGGAACGATTTAATCAGACATTGGAGAGGTACCTAGCAAAAGTTGTAGACAATCGGCAACGAGATTGGGACAAGCACATACAACCGTTTTTGTTGTCATATCGAAGTTCTGTTCACGAAAGTACAGCAGTGACACCAGCTTTCGCAAACTTTGGAAGAGAATTACGGCTGCCTGCGGACCTGATCACCGGGATACCACCTGATGCCCCACGCAGTATAACCGATTATGCAAATGACTTGCGAAACAAAATGAATGACATTTATGAGCACGTCAGACAATCGGGCCAGCAAATGTCTGAGAAAATGAAAACCCGGTACGACCGCGAAATGAACAATAAAGGGTTCAATGAAGGTTCATTAGTGTGGTTGCACAATCCAGTCCGCAGCAAAGGGAAATCTCCTAAGCTTCAAGCTAAATGGGACGGCCCGTACCGGATTGTAACCAGGATCAACGATGTGACCTACCGGATACAGAAAGGCGCAAGAGGGACTCCTAAGATCGTCCATGTGGATCGCTTGGCGCGTTATTATGGGACCGATAATGCTCGGGACGAGCATGTCTTAGGAGGGGGCAGTGTTGCATGAATAAGTCAACTAGCGCCATCTAGTGAGAGCGAGGGGAGCTTTGCAGTAAATGACATCACAAATCTTTCAACCGACAGCGCCACCCGAAGAACTAAGTTTCTGGAAAATGTCTAAGTTTATTGGAAAAAAATAGCCCCGCTGGGTTTCTTGCTGGTTCTTCTCAGAACAGAGGTTTTTTTGTGAACCAGTGGTAAATGAAAAAATTGACTTTAAATAAGTATTGTTTATAATCTATATTGAATAAAAAAGTTTCTGTTTCTGTTTCCACAAATCCTCGCGAAAGAACACCGATTCCTACCAAGGTTGATACGTGAGGCTATTGAAATTAAAAAACATCCTAATTTCAATAGAGAAGGTGGCTGGGTACTACCACCTGCTTGGGACCCTATAATTAATAAAATTAAAACTAAACCCAAGCGTACCACTGCAAAACTTCAAAACACAGTTAGTTCATTCTGCGTAGATCGGACCAAAGATAATAATTAAAAAGCTGAAGGTACTCCGGGTTAACATTGACATCGGGACGTCAGTCACCTCAGTCCAGCGTGACCATGGGTACTGGAAAGCACCCGAAACGTCGGGTATTAAAAATAACATAAATAAACGCGATAAAATCCGAAAGTAGTTTGAATCAACATTTAATTTTATTACCATATAATGGCAGATTTTTTACATTAAACCAATGCACTAATTTTAAAAGTTAAAGTTACAGCCTATATACGTCCTACTGCTGGGCACAGGCCTCCTCTCATTTTTGAGAATGTTTTAGGCCAAGGAAATGTCCGCCGCGCTGCCCCAATGCGTGTTGGCGAACTTCACATATCTTCGAAATATATTTTTTTCTCAGACTTACAGGTTTCCTCATGATGTTTTCCTTCACTGCCGAGTACGTGGTAAATCAGCATTTAAAATTGCAATTAATAATTCCATTGGTGCCAGCGGGGATCGAACCCGGGTGGCTCGCATAATGTGACTTTACAGTGAGCGCAGAAAAAAAAGCAGTGAGTGTGAATTTTAATATAGCATTATTCACATAGTCACATTTAAATGATTAAAATATATAATATGTAAATAATACTATATTATGATTATCCGCTACAAGGGGAGGAGCGCTACTGTACAATAGCCTACCGAACGAGGCATTTCATAAAAAATCGTTTTCAAAATTTAAAGACAAATTAAAAAGCACTGTCAAACGTTAACTTAAAGACAGTGCTTTTTTAATTTGGATATATTTATGTAACTTTGTACATATAAGTCACCGTATGTAAATGTAATATTTATTACCAATTATGTTATTTTTTAAGTCTCATATGAGTGAATTTTTGTTCTTTTTTTAAATTATAAACTCCTTAAACCTAAATTTAAATAGAAATAGACCGAGAATTAATCCATGAGGAATTAGTACAGGTGACCTGGAAGAACTTTTAGGTGACTTGAAATAATAAGTTTGAGCGCTTTGCCCTTGACACCATAGTGCTGCTTCATTCTTAACACCTAATCAAAAATCCTCTGCTGAATATACTATGTCCTCCTCATATCCATGGGTATATATGCCATATGTGGTAGAGCCACGCTGCAGCTATATTATGGTTGTAGCACGAATAGGTCGGCTCGAACGAAAAAGGAACTCGCTCTCACAGAATACCAGCATTATACTGCTGTGTTTCGTACGGTGAGTGTAGAGAACCGGAGACCCTTTTTACTGGAAACGAGGTAGTCCTTCTTAGTCCTCATGGGTGGTAAATGTAGATGTCTATGGGCCACAGCATCTACTTACCATCAGGTGGACTGTGTGCTCGATGCTGCTCGCTGAGGGTTTATTTTATTAAAAAAAATATTTACCACGCTTGGCTGGCAGGTTGCCGACTAGTTTCTTTTTTTTTAAATTCTTATTATGCTTCTGCCCATCTCTCGTTTTATTTTTAAATTGCCTCTTACGACAACCACGAAATAGGCTCAGGTCGTGGATACTTCTCCGCCACTACTACTTATTGTATTTAACTAAAACGTACTCACGGTCTTCTGGCTGAATGTGCTGAAACTGTTGTCGAAGCAAAATCTGTAGTCGCCATTGAGCGTGGCGGTGTGACGGTGAGCGTTCTCCGGCTTCTTGTAATCGGCGACAATGACCCTGCCAACTGGGTCAGCGAGTTGGAACGATATGTCCAACTCCCCATGTGTGGAGTCTATCACCTAAGGGGGAAATGATTCGTAAATACATCACCAGAGTGTAAATAGTTGACTTAAGGACATAGAAATTGAATGAAATTTCTTTAAATTAAATGGTAAATTCGTTTTTCGATGTAAGAAATGGTTGAAAATGTTATTTAATCGACTATTGTTTCAATATGCAGATCCTCCGTCCGGAGAAGTGCGGAAAAAAACTCCACAGCTATTCACTTTTCAGTCATTGTTTTACAAGATAATTTTATGATATTCTTAATCAAAATTAAAAAGTAATAGTCCCTTAGGTGTTGAAAGCATGATCTATAATTATACTGCACAATAAAAAAGTATGAAAACTTAAAGCTAACAAATGTGTTGCAAACCGGAGCAAATTAGCTCAAACAAGTAGCACACAATTATGACAGATATGGTATATAGATCTTAAGAATAGAAATCAAGACAAACTTTGAACTGTCATCAGTTATCACCATGGGCGCTGGAAAGCGCCCGAAACATATAGAATCCGTAAAATTAGTTTTATTCCATGTATAATGGTTTTTATTCAGATTTTTTTTAAATAATGGGATGATAAACGAACACACTCCACCTGATAGTAAGTTTTCCATATAAAAAGAAATTCAATCCAAGCTTCCGCTCATTCAGAAATCTTAAGTCAGATTTCTAAGCTCAACCGTCATTCAATTTTAACAGATTTTTAAATATTTTTTCGAGAAAAGTTTGAATTGAAAAAAATGCCAAGAGGAGTTTTAAAGTTTTACGAGCAACAATAGCAACTTTGAGGGAAGAGAAGATATCCATGAGAAAAATAGCACGCAAACTTGCTGTATCCCAGTCCTGTGTCATGGCCATGTTGCACAGTTGCCACGGCATGGATAATTTAGATGACCAACTCATCTGACTGCTGCTTAGAGACGCTACCTATATCTGATTGCTGGCGGCTCGTGACCCACCAATCAACGCCACCACAATAAAAGCAAGTGCGGGCCACCTCTGGACTTGAAGTTATCTCTCAGACCATTCGAAATTGACATACACGATGAGGAGGTAGGTGTGCGCGGAGGGCATATATATCGGTCTTATACATATGGGTCTAATAAATAGTTAAACAAGTTTTTGTTTACAAGTGATTGTATATTTCCATAAACCATAACAGTGATAAGTGGAACAAGTGTTATTCGCAGTATTTAAACAAGTATAGTGGGATAAGACTAAGTTTCAAAAATCGCAGTGAAAACCAGCTGTGAAATCAGCTGTTTTAGTGTACCCCCATTAATTTTGTTAAAATTTACTTTTAAAATATAAATTGTAGCATAGTTTTTTATTTATTATTCTTCTAATAAGTGCATTACAGAGTCTTTATAAAGTTTTATGTTGAAAAATACCACTAAACATAATTCAAACCGAGCAATCAATCTGTGTTGATATTTCTGCCATCTAGTGACAACTGTCAAAACTATTTATACGTTATCAATTAGCTACATCGATTAATAATGGCAAATAAGTGTGGGCACTGCGGTAAATTTATTTCGCAGACAGATGGCGTTAAATGCTCAAAATGCACGTCGACTTCCATCGGCCGTGTGTTAATATTAGCCCCGAATCAAGGATAAGCCCAAAATGGATATGTAAAACCTGCAAAATACCGCGACAAAGCCCTGTGCCAGCCGACTATTGTACTGAGACATCCCTAGACCTCCACCTGAGTATCAGGAGTATTTATTATTTTGGGGTTTCTTTATTATAATATTGTTACCTAAATTAAAAATTATTTTACATTTAAATCTATGAGTTAAAAATATCGTTTTGTAGAGTTTACTAAAAATAACACTTCAAAAGATTTTATGATAAATGACTTATTTAATGACAATTTTCAACCATCTTATATAAGTATAAGTTAGGTAAAAGTTTAATTTCATAGCAAATAAATGTTTCAATCCCTATTTTTAGACATGTAAAGTAAGATGAAATTGTGTATGTTCAGACTCACAGAGTGTTAGGAATGAAATTTAACATTAAGCATATTTATTAAATATTTAAAATATATGATAACTTGAGGTTTTTGTGTTTATGTCATCTAGCGTCGATTGTTCTTACCACCTTGAAATTTAATAAGTTTTAGTTCGATAAAATGACTTTATTACCTACATCATGTAGCAGATGGCGCTTTTACAAATCTCAAATTTTCGGTTCCCAATAGATCTCACAGACTCACAGAATACTGGAGCCTGAAATGGTCCATTTGAATGATCGATCCGAATGTACCAGTACGCGTGACGAAATGTACTAGAAAGATTCGGTCGATAGAAATGAGTGATTTACACATATCTAGTTGCGGGCGGCGCGCGTGCGTCGGCGGTGCTGATACATCAGGTTTTTATATCAATGGAAAACCGACACGCTTTTATCTTAACGAGCGCCTGACGTATGCCAACAAGCACCTTTTCCATAGGGCTCGACAGGAGGCACGGCAATGCAACTGGCGATATGCATGGACAAAAAACGGTGTAATATTTGTGAAGCGCGATTCTATGTCTAATAAGCAAAAAATACCTATGTATGGACTGTGACATTGAAAAAGTTTTTGGTTCTTCATGAATTTGATCTTTTTTATAAAACATTCTTTAAATCATGTCACTATGGGCATTTATCTTTCATATAATAATTTTGTTTTTATTTTGCGTTTGACAGTTAGGATAATAGGTTTTGCTGTGCTTTGCAATGTTTTTGTCGTATTTTGTTCAGTTTATTTATGTATGTCTTATATATATTTGGATATTTTTTTAACAATTAAGCGACCGTTTACCTTTAATGATTTGCTGAGCTTATACGAAGGTAACTGTGAACAAAATAGTATTATTTTTCTTGCTTTTAATTTATTTGTTAATAGTCCCTATTGTCGTGCTATTATTAATGAGATTGTATATTATTCTTTGTATAATATGCCTGCAATAACAAATTTAGATCAATTATTTCAATATAAAAACGTTCGGGTTCATGTTATCACTGTTAAAATGTTCATACCGGCATCAAAGTTACATAATATAATACAGCTAGGTATATTATATACATTTTTGTGCAAGTTTAGTATTAACTGCGTCTCATATTATTATTATTTGTATTATTGTTGCATAGCACTAATTATATCTATAATGTTACGTATTTATAATTTAATATCTCAATATGTAGCTACATTGTATGATAAATACTTAGTTAATTTAAGCCTTAATCAAAGATATCTTTTGTTCTTTTTTCTCACATTTACATAATGGTTAGGCCGCAGAAATTAAAAGTTGGTTTTTTAAATCCCGGATCACTAGGTACGCATCATGATGAGTTCGTGGTAGCTATGGATCGTCTGAGAGTTGACGTGTTGGCTTTGAGTGAAACCTGGCTCAGGGCAGGTGAAGAAGGAAGGGCACCTCGTGTGCCTGGTTACCACCTGCGACATACTCCTAGGCCGGCAGAAGTTCGTTCTCGCGGTGGCGGTGTAGGTTTCTACATAAGACGTGGTTTACCAGTACGTAATCTACCCTACCCTATATCGCAATCTGTAGAACAAATGTGGCTAAGCGCCAAAATCAATGGTAAAATTGTCATAATTGGCACTGCGTATCGACCACCTTGGCTTCAAGTGCAAAATTTCATTGATGGTCTTTCAGACACAATAAACACGTTCTTGTCGTATGATTATTTACTACTTCTTGGCGATTTTAATATCAACTACTTAGATAAATCCAACCGTAATACTAAAATATTAGATGAATTCATTTTAATAAATAATCTTAAACAATATGTTAACGAACCCACTCATTTCACAAGTAACAGCAAAACGTTGTTGGATCTAATACTTTCTAACGTATCCCTAAACAAAGTAGAAGTGGATTACATACCTGATTTGAGCCATCATGCGTTTATATCATGCGAAGTCAATCTTACTACGCACAAATGTCCACCGCGACTTGTTTTTTTATAGACCAATTAAAAACATAAATCCTGAACAATTTCATCGAGTTTTAAAGGGTATAAATTGGGAAAACATCGTGAATGTGCAAGATGTTAATGTTATGGTTGCTGAATTTAATTCAACCATATTATTTATATATAATCTGTTAACTCCGATCAAAAAAGCCTATATTAAGGAACAATATCGTCCCTGGTTAACATATACAGTCAAATTAATGATGCGACTCCGTGATCGAGCACATTCAAGGGCACGTTTAACAAAAATAGATAGTAAATTATTATAAACAATTAAAAAAACAGGTCGTGACTGCTATTTATAATGAAAAGACCGCTTATTTTAACACGTACATTAATTGTAATATTAGAAATTCTAAAACGTTATGAACGCACTTACATCGTCAAATAAATATGAAAAATAAACAATACTCGTCTACCATACAATTTGTGTGACCCAAAAAAAATTAATAAACATTTCCTTGACGTTCCAGGCCAAAATTTTGCTTCTCAATCCGCTATCAACTACTTCGAAACCCATAAATTTAGCTCTAATACTTTTGAATTTAAGGAAATAGATAGTAAAACAGTTTTAAAAATTCTACATGATCTGAAGTCGAATGCCGTTGGGTTGGATGAAATTTCACTGGAAATGCTGTTATCCACTCTCCCATACTCTTTAAATGTTATTACGATAATTATGAATAGTTCTTTGAGAGCTAAGACATTTCCCAAGCAGTGGCAAACTGCTTTAATAACGCCGATTCCTAAGACAGATAATATTAGGAATTTTAAATAGAAATAGAAACTTTTTTATTCAATGTAGATTATAAAAATACTTATTGAAAGTCACTTTTTTAATTTACCACCTGAAAACCAAACGACCTGCGACCTATTAGCGTATTACCCTGTTTGTCTAAAATCCTAGAGAAAGCTGTATGTAATCAGTTAACTCATTATTTAGACCAAAATGAAATTCTACCGAGTGTACAGTCTGGCTTTAGGAAACGACATAGCACTACAACAGCTTTGGCCGATGTAGTGTATAATGTTTTAAGTGCTCGGGATTCCGGTATGGTTACAATTCTAGTTCTTCTAGACTATTCCCTTGCATTTGACACGTTAAATAGGCAGTTGTTATTCTCTAAATTAAACTACTATGGATTAAGCTCGGAAACTATAGATTGGTTTCGTAGCTATTTTAATGACCGTAGGCAAATTGTCGAAGTAATAGATGAAAACGGCAATAAAATAGCATCTGATTGCTGTGCTGTTACAAGAGGTGTTCCGCAAAGTTCAATACTTGGTCCCTTGATTTTTTCGCTGTATAGTGCTGATATCGTAAAACAAATATTAAACTGTAGCTATCATATATATATGCTGATGATATACAAGTCTATATTTCTTTTAAGCCAAATGAGAGTACTGTAGCCATACAAAAATTACATGAAGACCTAAATCGTATAGTCGACTGGTCTGAAGCAAATATATTAGTACTTAATCCTAATAAAACGAAATATATGCTACTTGGTACCAAAAACAAATAAATAAAGTCTTGGCAAATCGTCCTTTAATTTCAATTAAAAATGTAAATATTGATCGAGTTACTGAGATTAGAAATTTAGGAATATTGATGGATGAGGCACTACACTTCGAAAAACATATAATAAATCACGATAAAAATTGTTTTTACAGATTAAAAGTACTATACCTGATAAGGGATGTATTAAAGACGGAAGTCCGTATCAGATTATGTGAGTCCTTGATACTGTCCAAATTCAATTATGCAGATGCAGTAATAGGTCCTAGACTTCTCAACCGTTCAAAAAAACTTACACAGCGCGTACAAAATGCCTGTGCCCGCTTTTGTTTTAAAATACCTCCCCGTGCACATGTTACACCTTACATTAATAATGCGAAAATGCTCAAAATGGATTACCGCCGGCAGTTGCATTTTGCTACGCTGTTGTTTGGTTGTATAAAATACAGGACGCCGTCCTATCTTTATGAAAGATTGCGCTGGGCTCGAGACAACGTCTTAACAAATGTAGTGACAAGAGCTTCGGCGTACGGGTTGCTTCTGCCTCAACACCGCACCGCTGCGTTTCGAGGCAGTTTTCGATATGCAGCAACCAAGTGTTGGAACAACTTGCCGCCGCGGTTCCGTAATATGCAATCGATACATAGCTTCCGTCAAAAATTTAAATTGTTCCTCTTAGATCAGCAATCTCAAAGTTAAGTAGTGCAGATATTTTGATAGTATGTAATGTTATAAATAATGTATGAGCGTGTATATGGTTATGTACGTGTGCTTGTTTATATTTATGTATATATATGTACATACATATATATATATATATATATATATATATATATGTATATGTGTGTGTGTGTTTGAGTATGTATATATTATTTATTGAAATTATGTAATGAAGCGGTGTACTGCAGCTGGTTTGTGTATTTGTTTGTAGCTTAAACTTAATTATGTTCCTGAGTGAATTTCAATGCAACCTCTTACAGGAATAAGAATATTTTATAAGAATTGTGACAGTATTACAAGAAATAAATTTTTGTTACTATATTTGGTTTAAAACAACAGAACTGCCCTCTGCACATAAAGAATGTATAATATATGTGTATATATATATATATATATATATATATATATATATATATATATATATATATTTATATTTATTTGTGTATTTTTACTTTAAATATATAAGGGTGCCACTGAAAATCAGGGTTGAGGAGTTGTACTTCTGATACATTCCAACATATCCTGAGTGGCTTTCCTTTTTGGAGCAGAGCAGCATTAACGGGTGGATCATCTTTGTAATACACCTTATGCATTACTCCTTATTCTCTAGTTCTTTATTATTATTATTTTTCTTTTTTGTTCTTTAATATGTTATTGTTTGGTTTTTTTTACCATATCTATAAACAAGGAGTGAATGTCCTGTTTCATGATGTCTATGTATAATTTTTTTTTCGTTTTTTTGTTTGTATGACTACTTAAATGTTATGTGTTTTATGTAATCCACTTGAGTGTGTTGCATGTGCCAAATAAAATCTGTTTATTTCTTTCTTTCTTTATTCAAATTGCTTACACCAAGCTGGTATACGAGCACGAAAGTCTTGACGAGCACCTCTGAATTTATGGCAACGTCATCGACGGAGATCGCAGTGGGATAGGCCCCGTCAAAATGAAGATGAGGAGAAAAACAGTTGGCAAAACTGTCTGTTGACATTTTTTGTACTCATTCAGATAACCGACGTTTCCGCGTCTGGAGAAGACCTGTAGACTCTGATAGGGAACGAACTGCTACACGAACCGTTCAGGAAGGCGGGAAATCGGTGTCCTTTTAGAGTGGAATTATAATTGGAACTAGAACACGTTTGATTTCATATCGAGGTTCCGTGACGGAAAATAGGTACAAAACAGTCACTTTTGATGGTATTATCAGATCATTCCGAGTAAACCATGGACTCTCCAATGAGACCAAGTAAATCATGGACCACCAATTCGTCCTGGTTGATGATAATGCGCCTGCACATAGAGCTCAATGAGTCAATGCTGCTCTCCGAGAATACGATATCACAAGTTTAGACTACTGGCTCGCCTGACCTAAACCTAATAGATCAAAAATGGGATGCTCTTAAGCAAGCTGTTTGGAATCGTCAGCCACCTCCCCATACTGTGCCAGACATCAGGGAAGCCGCTATTCAATAATGGGACAGGTTACCGCAAGCAACGCTTGATAACTTGATCCTCAGCATGTCCAGGAGGATCTACGCATGTGTTCGAGCCAGGAAAGGAGTTATATTGTATTAAATAAAAACCTTCTATTAATAAACTGTTGTATAAGTTTGGTTAAA